CGGGTAACACATTAATACACTCCTTAAATTCGTTTTTGTACATTATTGCGTTATAAACGTTGTAAGCAATTAGATGTCAAACTGAAGATTGCTTTGCATTTATAAAGAAAGTCACCAATCGACGAAAGAATTTCATGCAGGCTATTTGATGGGTAAGGATTTGTGTGCCTATTACAGCTTAGAGATGAAACACAGATAGGCCAACAAGTCACAGTAAATACAGGCTTGCCCATATGAGAAATCTGAATGGTACTCCCAGTGTTTTCATTAATTATCAAAATTCGATTGTGTTCCTCTCCACGATAGGCCAGCAACGCCAAACCAACTGCGTATGTTAACGCATGGACGATTTCAGGTCCCCCTTCCTCTTCCATTCTCCCAGCTAGGGGGATATTTACTATTTATATTAAGGGTTAAAGGTTAAAAGAAAATATAAGAGAAGGAAACAATGAAAAAAGAAAAGGATATTAAGATAGGTAAGAGGTATATAAAAAATTTTGTTATAGTTTTGTTATAGGTAAGAAATGTCTCGGTCCATTAAGTCGTATACATTTCTTGCCGTTACCACAATTTGAACCTCGTCAATCGCATATCTCTCAAATTTTTACAATACTTTCTATTTGCACAGTATGTACAAAAGTATATGTGTGTCCTGTTTGGTGAGTGAACAAATGAAGTGAAAGAATGTGCTAGTTTAGTCCAAGAGGGGATTCACTTTTTTTCATAATAACTTGAATAAAATTGGTTATTCGGGTCCGACTGAAGCAAATTCTCCTGGCAAAATTTCGGATCTCTTCATCCGAAAACCGCCTGGATTATTTGGAACCGTTGGTTCTGCAGCTAACAACTTTTCCAGTTGCTTTGACCAGTGCTGTATCGCCTGATGGTTAGCCCTGGTGGATGGTTTTGGCGTTCGTTTCGATTTTTGAAGAAATTGCTAGGTCAGGCTTGAATTATCTGCATATAAGTGCATACTCGCACTCACTCCCTCACAGGAACTCGAGAATTTCTGAGGCATACTCAGTGTGGTTTGAGCTGAAGGACACAGAATTCGGCATGTTAATGTGATGACTGAATTTCACACGGATAAGCAGACTGCTTGTTGCAGCAGGTGACTCTGAAGGGTTGCTGGATGCACGACGGTAATTTGGGTAACTGCGACAATAGCCAGTGCATCGCCGACGAAAGGCCAACGGGGCATGGCAGCGCCGCACTGTTCTGCTGCTGCAGCACGCACCACTGCAATCGACGTGTGCTCTTTCCGCCACAGCGTATTTCAACTCGTAAGTTTCCCGCTCCGAACATTTGTTCTTACAAGTCTGTGGAAAGAATTGCACTGTAAGATGCGAAGTGTTTTTCCCTCTGCCAGTTTTTCTCGCCACTGATCTGCCAGCTGCTTAGGTTTTGTTGTGGGTGTAGCTTGCAAAATGTCTCATTTCATAAGTCTTTTTTTGCTAGTAATTTGCCAGGACCAGCACTGGATTCAGTGCCTGAAACAGCTATATGCTTTTTATGGCTCACTTCTGACAACTGACAACTTATCAGCGCTGCGCCATCCCCTGGCACTCTGAACTTTGAGTCACTAATTTCAATGCTGAATTAGCATAGCTTTAGTACACTGTTACATTCACTACTTTACAAAATTTATGCAAATTTCCCGAGTGTTTTTATGCAAATTTCCCGAGTGTTTTTATGCAAATTTATTCACAAATGTCATTGGAGATGCAGGCGATTGCTCGTCATGTTATGACGGCATGTAAAGAAGAATGCATCTGTAGTTGTTCGATTTTCCTCTCCAAATTCCTTGCATTTGTGGTCATCTTCGCTGTTCGCATATGAATTGGTCATGCCTTCTGTGATGCCTTAGTGCCCCCCTCCGCCTCTCCATCTTCATTTTTCCCCCCTGATATTCATCGCTCTTTCTTTACAACTGTAAGCACTGTGCGTATTTGCTATATTGAACAATAATTGGCCAACGCACGGGCTGTCCGTGCGATGATGCGTTTTTTGCATAGTTCCCCGCAGCTTTTGTCGCTACCGGCATCGGTTTTTTAGGCAGATCCTTCTAGCTAAACAAATTAAGACTAGCTGCCAAAACTGGCAGGAAACACCCCCTTAAAATTTCAGCTTTCTAGGTTTCCTGGCTCCTAAATTAGCATTTTATTGGGAAAAGTTTTTCACGAGCCCGCACTCGGGTACCACGCATACCCGATGTCTGGGTTTGAGCTCGTTGAGACTTACTTGGACGGGGAACATCGTTTTAAAGCTACACTCTTTTAGCTTTACAGGTTCTCGAGTTATGAGCTTACCCGAGAAAACTTTGGTGAGCCCGTGCGTAGGTACTACGCATGACCGAGGGCTTGAGACTAATGTGAACGAGAAACACTCTCTTACTGTTACAGTCTTCTAACATCTCAGGTCTCCGAGTTATGAATCTACGCGGAAGAAATTTTGACGGGCTCGTACGCGGGTACCACGATTACCCGGGGGTTGGGTTTGGGCTCATTATTACCTACGTGGACGGGGAACATTCCCATAAAATTTCAGCTCTCTAGCTTTTCTGGTCCGCTAGTTAGCAGCTTATCCGTAAAAAACTTTGGCGGGCTCTTACGTGGGTACCACGCGGGAGAGACCGCCCATTTTGGGGATAGAGGCCCGTGCGTGCATGTAGATTAATTCCTCAAAGTTTCAGCCCTGTAGCTTTTGTGGGTCTCGAGATGAAAAA